TTGTAAAATTATTATAATAAATTAAAGAAATATCAAAACTGCTAAAATTTTGGCGACCCCCTGCTGCAGGTACCGCGACCCTCAGTTTAAGAAACCTTGCTTTAGAAGGAAATATTCATATATCACAATCTCTCATACTTTTTACTTAATTCAGCTAATACTATATTTAAATTTTCATACAATATAATTTGAATTTCTTATGAATTAATTTGGAAGATATTTTCTTTCAATTCAATTTTAAAATAATCTAACTTAGTAGCATGGTCAAGCGTATTTCAGCTGGCTTGTTACTCATGCCTAAAATAAAAGAAAATTGAGTTATATAGGGTGTGGCAATTTATTTCCTAAATGTCTCTTTATAAACTAGGCATGTTAAGCTATTTACTATGAATACCTTCGGCTGCAAAAATCTCCACGCCGACTTAGACTATATTCCCATTCTTGAAAGCAAGCCTGGAATTTATTTTACAGGATGCTGTCCGGAGTGTTCTCGCATTATGTTGGACATATCATATGTTATCATAAAATCTTCGACACTACGGCTTATCTCTTAAGTTTAAAACTAAGATTATAGTAGAAGCAAAGTTAGATGAGTAAGCAGCATAATCTAAATAGGCAATCGGAATTTTGATTCGCAAGTTTGTCAAAAGAAGCAGACTGTGATTGTGAGTGAGACGCATGAAATGTTTTATACCCAACCCTTCCATTAAGTTTAGTTCAGCTCTTTCTTCAATAAATTGAAATTTTCAAACTAAATAGTTTGTCGAACTGTATCACACATTTCAACCTTGTAAGTATTAATGTCCTTCATTTTTAATTTTTAGTTGTCCTCTTATGGGGTCATCCATCACATCTGGTCTATCTTTGAATCTCTTACACTACAGAAACGTGCTGTACCTTTTCATTGTATCTTCACGGTGTGTGAATTTCAATAATGCTAACGTTTTAGTGTCGCTTTTTTCCATTTTTTCACACAAAATTTGATGCTATTTCAATTGCTCCTTTTTGTACCGTAGCGTACTCACAGAAATCTCGTACCAAACCATTTACCATCTGGTTCTATCCGTTTCAAATTTAAGTACACATCAGTTAAGCCAAGTTTAAACACGAATACTTTAGTGACTTCAAGAAAATTATATATTTCTGGGTCTTAAATTGTTGCTCAAAGTAGTACTGAATTGCACAAAAGTACGCTAGAGCATTTATTTGACTGTTGCCGTTCATTGACCAGCGAGACAAAAACATTGTAAACAATTATCACAGCAGTAATGTGTTAAGGTAGTTATCATTAAGATACTTACTGCAAAGAGCAATCGCATTTCAAGTTCGAATAATGTGTACGTAACGATGTTTTTACGAGCTTTTTCCTCATCCTATATATTCGAATAACACCATTTAGATAATTCATGTTTTACGTAGGCTGTAGAAAACTCACCAACTTCTCGAAACTTTTTTCTTTATATTAAAGCATGCCTTTGAATTGTCTATTTTCATATGATGAAACAAATCTGAGCATGCATTATCAATCTTATGTCTCTCTTTCTACAAAACTTAACCTTTAATCTAAAAAAAATTGAGTTTCAGTTTCATATCCAAAAGAAATGGTTGTATATGCATGGGACCAAGAAGGACCCCCACCTGTGAATCCAGAAATGAGGATGCTTCGACATCGAGTTGCGATCAGCAAAGGAAAATCTGAAATACATATGCTAAATAGTAAGTTAATGTAATAAACCAGTGAAGCTTCAGAAATACTGCATATAAAATTTCTTCTGAATTAAATTATTCAGTCCCTGTGATTTGTTGCGAATTGTTTATCAGTAACGACTGTTCCATTAAAGTGATTTTTGAATATCTATATAACTAAGGATTACATCTTTAAAGAATAAAGACCTAACAGGTTAAAATTATCTATTAAAGAACTGCGAAACATAATTTTCGTAAAATGTAGATTCATAAAGACAAAAATCATTTCAGGAAAATCTTTATATGGTTGAAGTCATAAAATATTTCACTGAAAGTTTCACGTTTATAGCAAGAGAAATATTGAATATACAATTACTGATTAAAATGGCTGAAAGAAGAATTTAAAATAAGTGTATCCCCCACATCATTATGAATATCAAGCTGGAAGCTTAAAAATTTACATAAATTTTTAGAGATCAAATTTACATATTTTTTTACGTTAGGATTCTTACTAGAAGCCATTATTAAATTGGTAAATTTACATTATTCCAAAATGTTATTAAAAACCATGTTTCAAAAGCTTAGACACATGGCTTTGGTTTATGATGTAAATCATATAAAGCAGTGATCTCCAATCTGTGTTTCTCAAATTTCTGAATCTCATAAAACACCTTTAGGCGTTCTGACTGACGCCTTTAGAGGTGAAATCTGCAGTCTGAAAAAAACTTTTAATATAATGTGAACAGCAAAACCAAACATCTAACTATATTTTCCTCTCCATTGTTATTACATAAAGTAATATTAAGCAGATTTGCTTTTATAAGTAAAATTGTAGTGTTTCACTTTATCTGGTAAATCTAATTAGTCCAGTAACCCTAACAGACGTGAAGTGAAACATTGCTATGTTTGAAAAAATGACAAAGTCGTGAGAAGGTAAAAAATAACCTTTTGATGTAAGCAGAATTTAGAATATAATATACTCTCTTATGCTACAATATAAGCCACAATTTCGTGGTGATTTAATTAAATAGAACAGACAAATTTAAATTAAACATGGAATAATAGTCAAAGACTACACAATTGTTTACTATAGTAGAAGCTGGCTCACTACTCTACCCAAGCATTATAATTTTATAGTCGGCAGCGATAGAACGAAAGGCCGGATAGTTAGAACTATCAGACCTGGCAGGAATCTAACAACACGTAGCATGCAGGCAATGCCAGAAACACACTTTGTCTTAGAATTCAAAAACAGTTCAAATACTGGCTACTTCATTTGCATTCTGGTGAGTAATACAAAAAAAAGAAGATATAGCAAAGGCTGAAATTATAAATAACTGGTTAAATAATTTAAAATTCATTACAAAATTATAACGAAATAATGATTTCTTTCTTTCGATTTTTAACATAAGGTGCTTATAATATTAATGCATTTTCAATACATTCTTCACATTTCCTTTTCTAAGGATAGTAAAGTCCCCCCTCCAAAAATAAACGGTTTAATAAGTTCCCCAAATCGGCAATATTTTAAGGCCATTGAGCTAAGAAAAGGCTTCAGATAGATCAGATAGAGACATTTTAAGTCACGTGATGTCTTTTAATTAAAGTATACGAAATTAAGCTTTTGTATCGGTACTCTAGAAATAATTTATCAAAGAAAATTATTAGGGCCGAATTATTCAAACAACAACGACAAAAAACATCACCATTCCCTCTTATGCGATTAAAATTATCTAAAATATTAATCAAAATTTGCTGGACCATGTTGCTAAATATTGCTACACACGCCACGTTTTGGACGCAAATTCCTACAGTATACCTATTACATTATAAAATCATAAATTTAGAAGCGTTGGCTTCAAATGCCATTCTCATTGATACTAAAATTTGTAATGAATGAAATTCAATTTTGCACAAGGGATTTTTTTACCGTTATTTAAGTGATATTTTTACCAGCCGTTTGAAAATGGTTTAAGTCATGTAATTCTGACAATGTTTATTCATTATCAATTTTACATATTTCGGATACTTTTCTCTGAAAGATTTTTAGCATAACAGGGGAAAAAATTCCCATTTAGAACTTTTACCTTACAGTACTCGTATTGAAGCATCTAAATCTCCCGTATTTTACTAACAGATGTCACGTGATCAAAACTATCATGTTTAGAAAGCTTACGTTTTTAATTCCTTTCTTAAATCGAAGCGATGCATATAATATTTATCCCTCAAAAGATATTTAGCCATGCATTGTTTTCGAAATACCATGTATAATTAGATATCATGAAGCATAAGCATCTCTAAAGAAAGCAGCACTTCGCGTATTACTTGATATACGCTTTTTACACTTGATAAAGAAAGAAAAATCTCTCTGCGGAGCAGACAGCTGGCGTTTCGATTTCGATTTAGACTTGGAGCATAAATATAAACACTTAAATATTTTATTTTCTCAATGAATATTTGTTCCCACCCTTGATATTCTGGTAAATATTTCAGATTATTAACTACGGCAAATTTTGTTCATTAAATCTTACATTTAATAAACGTATATAAAATTGAAAATTCTTATAATATCAACGGGAAAAATTCCTTATGCATAGCTGATGTTCTAAAGTAGCATAATTTATTAATAGCATGATGTAAACTAAATTAAGCTTAATTAAAGCTGTGAAAGTTTTATTTTCCGTTTTAAATATATTTAATAAAAAGAGAAAGCTCATGAAGTAACACTCTTCTGCTCTAAACATTATTTTCCAACCTAAATATAGGTGAGATTATTTTTAGAAATTCACAACATATCGTGTATGCTCTCATAGTGTCCACAATTTTTATAGAAACGTGTCGTGATTTTTCAGGTACATAGATCTTACAGTTCCTGAGCTCGATAATTTGCACATGTTCTTGTTCAGATATCTAAGGAAGGATAAAACACTTTTGAAAAACAAATCACGTAAAAAAGGACCAAAAAAAAACAGGCAATTAAATGGTTCATTTAGAATTCATACTCAGTTTGAATAGTTTTCTTTGCAAAAGGGTAGGAAGAATACGCATGTAGAAACAATTTTACAAACTATTTTTAAACGCGTTATCTAAAACACATTTTACTGCTTATATCATCACAAAAGCATACACTTTCATGGAAGCGAATTTATGGTTATCCAGAATCTGAAAAATGCCGTTATCTCCGTGCGGAGATAACACGAATTATTGTGTTTCTTTCTGAAAACTAAGCTGCGAACATTACACAAGTTAACATCTTTTCTTTTTATTTCTTCCTGAAAACCAAGCTGCGGAAATTAATATGAGTGACGAGATTACAAAAGCGTACACGATAATTATCCCCTTGCTTATCTTTTACTCTTCAATGTCTGAAAGGAGCTCTGTCACAAAACTCACTGCTGTTATAAAATTAATGATTGATTTTAAGTGAATCTTTGTTATCTTAAAAGTTGAATTTAGTGGCAGTTAATAATAATTGTTGTATTTCAGTGACATATTCAACGTTGTATGTGAATTTAACATTCGAGAGAGATCTTGCTCATCATTTGATTCAAGTGTTTACGCCAAGTGCTCTCATCGTCATGCTGTCATGGCTCTCTTTTTGGCTGGGTCTCGATGCAACTCCAGGTCGAATCACTTTATGCGTCACGAGTTTGCTTGCCCTTATAACGCAGTTTTCAAGCATTAGAAGAGATTTACCTCCCCTGTCTTATATTCATGTAAGAAAAATCGATAATTAGTATCTAAATAATTATATTAAAGTATGAAAAACGAAAGCACAGCTGTTTAAAATTGTTCGCTGTCGAAATATAAATGTACTAGTCTATCTAAGTAAGTATTATTTAAAACTTTCTTACCACAGGTCTGCAATGGACCTTATGGCAAAAAAACGTGGGGCATTTTTCAGTCCTCACAATTTTAGCCACTCAGTTGTTAATGGCTTAATTAAAGCACAAACTTCATTGTGATAGTAATCATTTTGCTTGCTTTTTGTTATTTTATATTTTCTAGAAAATCGGTGCTTCTCTTTATAACTGATTTTGAATAAGTTATCTATTGTAAATATGTTTCCTTTATCTGGCTGAATAGTTTTAAAAAGCAGCCGAAAACCGTGTATCTTATAGACAGATAAATGTGCGCATAAAATCCTTTCCGATTATTTTTATATGTGTCTTTACTTAAAAAAAATCACTATGAGATATTTAAGCCAATCAATTTTTATTAAAAACAATGTTCCATAAATTTTAAAAGAAGATAAACAGTTTAATATATTATTCCATTCATGTATAAGTAAATTTACAATAATGGCAGACTCATCCGTGTTTAATATTTCAGCGAGTTGATATATGGATGGTAACTTGTATGTGTTTCGTATTTGCAAGTCTGTTGGAATTTACTCTCCTCATTTATATGGAACGACAACAAAGAAGAACCACGTTAAAGAGTTCTGATGTCGTAGCAATGGTAAGAATAATATTTCTCTTCACCAGAAAACAAGAAAATTTCTATAGCATGCAAAATCTTCCTAAAACAGAAACAAATAAATGCAGATGCTATTTGCTTCGTCTTTACTTAATGAACATTTTGAGAAGAAATGCATTCTCTCTAATAAATAAATAAATAAATTTTATCTTCATCCTCTTGCATATATCTATCATAAATTCGTATTCATTAGTAGTACAGAATGAGCTATACAGGAAAATATTGGGTCGCAATTATATTTAAACTTACTTATCATATCCATCAGTCTATAATAATATGAAAATCCGTCCAAACATTTATAAATTCAAGGCTTTAGGCTTCTTCCACAAAATTATAACTAAAATTCTGTATGGACAAATAAATTAATAAGCGTCTATATTGTCAATAAACATTTACTACATTACACTCTTTGCAATCTAAATCTTTTATCCTCTATAGCTCTGAATTTTCTTATTTTCAATGATGCAATATAGTCATGCTGAGATACTTTCAATTTCACTCTTTTAACTATTATTTTTTCTATTCAGAATGTAAAAGAATACTGTAGGTGATTATTTTGAATCGCTTCGGGATATTTTATTGAACATTTGTACAAATATCATTGTTTTATCTGTAAATATTCTTCTTTGAATTAAAACCAAAAGAAGTCAAAAACTTTATTTGAGCCATAAAAATAGTATAGTATTAAAAATAGTACGACTAGGGCACTCATTTTTGTTTCTACTTTAAAACAGATCAAAATGAATTATCTTATTCTCTCTATATATTCCAGAAAATAATTCTTACATTTCAATACGCATTATCCTTATGCCTGCTTCTAACGTTTTCGTGCAAAGGAAGATAAGCGAGTGAAAAGAAGTCTTAAAAGGAAAACTAAATAATAATAATAATAATAATAATAATACTCATAACGACAGTAGTTTCAATGTACTGAGTCGTTCAAAAGCACTACGATTTTTTAGCGGCATTGGTTGAAAAATTATCTGTTTTCAACAAAGTAGTTTAAGTTTTGTTACACAAAGATTAATTAGGAACAGCAAAAGAACCTATTCCTGCGAATACAGAAAGCGTTATCGTGCGAAATAACAAAAATACACATTAATAAGAAATTATTCTTCATGAAAGTTTACCGTCTCATTCTACGTTGGACGTTGGATATGGTGTAATTATGTATGCATGGTCCTAAAAGTGTCCAGTCAGTTTAACAGCGAAACTTAATTTACTCATTGTTAATAAAGTTTCAAGTGAAATTTTATTACACTAATTACAGAAATGTTTTAATAAAAAGCAGTGATGAGTAGTTTAACAAATGTATACTTCCGCTTGCAAATAATGATTTAGGAAAGAAAAGTATTCAGTCTCTATCACATTAAAATGTAGTGTTCTGCTCCCCCTGCATTGCAACTAATACTTAGTTTCCCATCCTCTAGAAATTGTAGTGTATTAAGCACTGAAAAGGTTTTTAGTTTAGCTCCATTCTTCCGGGATGAGTTTCACTAAAAAATATTTATAAAAAAATATTTATATAGACAATGCTTCAGTTCAGTCCACAGATATTCTAGTCAATAAATGCACTTCTTACAATGAAAGATATTGAACTTCCCAGCTACAGTCAACGACTTTTAAGGATAGTCTAGTTTGAGACCCAAACAACAGGTGAAAAGCGTGGTATTAAGGAATCGGCCGCAATTTCTGGACCAGAGCTTTTGAAGTGGCACTCGCTCCTGCAATATTTGAAGCTGTAGATTGCAAACGTCATATCTTCGTGAAGTCTGAGGCATTCTACAATCAAGAGAGATCACGTACCTCATCATTAAATTGTAGATATCTCCGCGGCATCGTAATGGGGCGAAAAATTGCATGCAAGAAAAGTTGATGCATGTGCCATTACTTTCGGAAAGGAAGATATATTTCAAGTGGTGAAGGAAAGTTGCTAGATTTTAAAATGAGATAGCTTCTGCTTTAGTCACTTCTTTATATGCCAGTAAGTGATTTACGAGTCTCCGAAAACACCCTTCTGGAATCTGATGCATAGATACTAGCGAAATCATGCCACTTTTTCTTCCGTTTTATTACTTGTCTCAAGAGCCACGATAATTTGCTGCTCTTTGTTCGATGCTGTATTCTCGAGTAATTGGTGCTAAGGACTTTTGTTGCTCCGACAGGGTAAACAACTCTGTACAAAGTGCTTGTCAATGTAAGCTGGAGCATATTGTCTGCTAGATATTTCTGCAAAACTTCTGTTAATAATATTTGTACCAAAACATGAGGATTACAAGTCATTTGACTAATCGCACAACATACTACTTATTGTCCAGCCGCCCAGCCGATATAGTGGTTAGTGGCCCTGACAGCCGTAGAGATCCCGGTTTCGAATCTCCCGGAGAAGGCATGGTTGTACACGTCCGTCCCTTCGGTAGGAGGCCACCTATTAGGTGCTTCCATAATGTAATGGCCACCACTTCCAGTACTTGCAGTGGCGCAAGGCTGTTGGCTATTAAATAAAGCGCCTGGCCATTAAAAATACTCATTGTTCTATGACACTATTTGTTAGAGATTGAACATATCCGTACTTTGTATCACACTATCCAAGCAACAGTCAATGTTGTATGACGCCCATGCCACCTGCCGGTTATGCAGCTTATCATACAACGACCTTCTGGCTTGCAGGGACATTACAATTCTCGGTCTATAGCTACAAATATTGCCGGCGCATTCTACATTTTACGCCCTGTTCTGTAGGTTGCGACCGAATGCGAAATGCTACACTTTAGAGCTTTCTTTCTGTTTACATGTTTGATCACTCATTAAAGTATCAGGCGATTGTCGAAGGGAAGTCCTATAGCTTTCCTTGTTAGTCATGGGTTCTTATTTGACTTAAACGATTAAGACAAGCTTTGAGTTAATTTCGAGCAATGCGCAGAATGATATTTTCGTTTTCTTATAAAATACTTAGGATTATTGTACGCCGTAAAGCAACATTGTTTCTCATCGACAACCACTAACCCCTTAATAAAAGAATGTTTCTAATACCAAAACTGCTTCAATGCTTCAAAGCTGGTTGTTTGAAGCATATTTTAAAATTATGCTGCAGGTTTCTTACCTAGACGCTATCGTTCAGACACCTTTAAAATATAAAATATACGCTTGTCTCTAAAGATTCCAAAAGATTGCTGTATTGAAAATTTTCTCCGTCTTTTAAACGTAGTGTTTTCGAACAGAAGTCTTAATTTTTTAATTTTTATTTATTTATTTATGTGTTTTTCCCTATTTTTCCCAAGACCTTTATTACCTATTTACTTATCACATCTCTTACTCTTCAGAAATCGAAGCTGATGTTATCTGAAATATTATTATTGAAATTTATTGCATTTCCAAGAATATTTCCGTAGCAATGGTGCTTGGACATGTTTTACTAGAAACATCGAAAATTATCTTTCCCTGTGTGACGAATTGTGTGAGGTTTTTAAATCTAAATGACGATTTCTTTATTTTTTATTATGTTCTGCAAAGTGGAATGAGGTTTCGTTTCTAATTTTCCTTCGCGAATATCCCTTCTCGAATAAAGAAATAGCAGAGATCAGAAAACATTTGCTTCATCGTAATATTCCTTTAAATGAAAATATTTTGATGAAGTTAACTAAACACATTAAAGAAAAGTTGCATGCTACGAGGTCAGTACTTAAATACAGGTAATTAAAATGATTCCCCTCTCCATAAAATATCAAGCAATGAATAACAATATTAATTTCCTTATCTATGAAATGATACCATACTACTGTATACATATATATATGTATATGTATACCTACCGATGGGTGGGAAATGGTCACTCTACATAACCTACCCAGCCAAATTATGTTATATCATTCTTGTTGTTGCTCTAGTAATCTGACGGTTAGGCCGCCTTTCTACATTTTTTTTTATTTGGGAACGATTGTCCTTAATATTAATAAAACAAATACAAAGATACAGAAAATGATGTTGTGGTTGGTAACAAAGATTTGATGTTAGCGTGCTATAGCGTGATTAACATGCCACCATCTTTGCCAGGAGAGTTTACCTGTTACATTTAGTCTTCATTGTCTTGAATGTAGTTCTTAGCATTGATTCGTTTTATGATTGCAATAATGCCTTTTCGACTACAGTAGTCCATAAACTGTTTGTGAAGAGACCAGGAACTGTAGTCCGTCGTGAAGAACTGTCGTCTGAGATCGTCTGTCAGCGGGAAATTCATCAGGTAGTGAAGAGCGTCTGCGTCTTCGCCGCAAAGACCGCATATGCAATTTACCTCTTTGTTCTGGAAGCCTCAATGGTAAACTGGGAATTTCCCGTGGTTGGAACAGGATTGTATCAAAAAAGGGTTTCGAACAAATCTTGAAAGGGAAGGCATGGCAAAGATGTTGAAGGTGTGACAACCTGTATCTTCTTCTTGCCAGCATGTGAACCAATCTTCGAAAAAGAATGACCTGAGAAGTCTTTTTGCGGTTAATATGGAGAGGAAACCTCTTTGTCTATTGAATCCTTGGTGGCGGCTTCCTTAGCAAGTTCGTCTGCTCATTCTTTGCCTATTTGTCCCGTGTGGCCTGTTATCCAGTTTATCTTAATGTTAGCCGAGAGACTAAGCGTGGTGAAGACTTCCTTTAAGGCAGCGATGTGAGGCTGCTGGGCCGGCATTGAATTCAAGCCTTTTAACACGCACATGCTGTCTGTAAAGAGAGATGTTGGACTCTTGTCTTGTGTGCTTAGCCATAATGCTGCTTCTTTTAGGGCAAGTGACTCTGCTTGAAACACGGAGGCGTGATCGCTTAACCGGAAGTAGTCGTAGTGAATCTCTTTGTTGTCGTAGAAAACTGAGAAGGCTGCGCTGATTTGCCCCGAAATCTTAGAGCCGTCTGTGAAAATTTCCCTATGGACACCTATTGGTGGTGGTGTGAACCAGGGAAGGACAGAGGAATCTGCCGGTTGGAGTCTGGAAGGAG